CAGAATTACACACTGATTTTACACAAAACTACCAATGCCTTAAAATCAAAACATAGATCTTTATATTTTGAATACATTACTTAACATTGATCAATGTCTAATAAATGATAATCAAACATTAATTATCAGTCAAATCTTTACTTTTAGGCTTGAAACTATTTTTACTTTCTTAATAAGCTGTGTGTCTTTCTCTCTATGCCTTTCATACGCACACAACTGCATTCCTCTTTTAAGGGATGTGTGTCTACTTCCTCTTTTCTGTGATTCTGCATTTTTCACTCTTTTAGATATAAAATCACTCCTCTGCATCCGCTCACATCCTCTGCAAGTGGCTCAGATTAGTCACATCCTGTGGAAAGTATTCAAAAGATACTGTAGAATGTATCTGAAATAAAAATTACTGTTAGAGGATTTTGTTGGTCGGCTCTTCGGTGCGAATATTCATTCTTGCTGCTCACATCCTCTGCAAGTGGCTCAGATTAGTCACATCCTGTGGAAAGTATTCAAAAGATACTGTAGAATGTATCTGAAATAAAAATTACTGTTAGAGGATTTTGTTGGTCGGCTCTTCGGTGCGAATATTCATTCTTGCTGCTCACATCCTCTGCAAGTGGCTCAGATTAGTCACATCCTGTGGAAAGTATTCAAAAGATACTGTAGAATGTATCTGAAATAAAAATTACTGTTAGAGGATTTTGTTGGTCGGCTCTTCGGTGCGAATATTCATTCTTGCTGCTCACATCCTCTGCAAGTGGCTCAGATTAGTCACATCCTGTGGAAAGTATTCAAAAGATACTGTAGAATGTATCTGAAATAAAAATTACTGTTAGAGGATTTTGTTGGTCGGCTCTTCGGTGCGAATATTCATTCTTGCTGCTCACATCCTCTGCAAGTGGCTCAGATTAGTCACATCCTGTGGAAAGTATTCAAAAGATACTGTAGAATGTATCTGAAATAAAAATTACTGTTAGAGGATTTTGTTGGTCGGCTCTTCGGTGCGAATATTCATTCTTGCTGCTCACATCCTCTGCAAGTGGCTCAGATTAGTCACATCCTGTGGAAAGTATTCAAAAGATACTGTAGAATGTATCTGAAATAAAAATTACTGTTAGAGGATTTTGTTGGTCGGCTCTTCGGTGCGAATATTCATTCTTGCTGCTCACATCCTCTGCAAGTGGCTCAGATTAGTCACATCCTGTGGAAAGTATTCAAAAGATACTGTAGAATGTATCTGAAATAAAAATTACTGTTAGAGGATTTTGTTGGTCGGCTCTTCGGTGCGAATATTCATTCTTGCTGCTCACATCCTCTGCAAGTGGCTCAGATTAGTCACATCCTGTGGAAAGTATTCAAAAGATACTGTAGAATGTATCTGAAATAAAAATTACTGTTAGAGGATTTTGTTGGTCGGCTCTTCGGTGCGAATATTCATTCTTGCTGCTCACATCCTCTGCAAGTGGCTCAGATTAGTCACATCCTGTGGAAAGTATTCAAAAGATACTGTAGAATGTATCTGAAATAAAAATTACTGTTAGAGGATTTTGTTGGTCGGCTCTTCGGTGCGAATATTCATTCTTGCTGCTCACATCCTCTGCAAGTGGCTCAGATTAGTCACATCCTGTGGAAAGTATTCAAAAGATACTGTAGAATGTATCTGAAATAAAAATTACTGTTAGAGGATTTTGTCAGTTGGCTCTTTGGTGCAACTATTCATTCTTTTTCTTATATATAGTCTAAACTGTCAGAAAATCAACTGGTGAGAATGTTAGTGATGACTTTGAACACTAACATCAGTATTTAAATGCAAAAGAGTGTCAGGAATATATTTCTGAGCATTTAAAAATCAATAAAAGACAGCTGCATGGTGCAATATTTAAATTGTGACCCATTTAAACTGGCAATATATAATGTGAGGCTGCCATTTGGATTTGTCAGAATAATGAGACTGGCAGCTCACTTGTATTTCTGTAAAAACAGTGCTCTTATAGGCAAGTTTTTTTTTCTGAGACATGGTTATAGCCTAGCTTACCAAGAGGTCCAAGCTTCTCCCCTCAGATAACCACAGTGTATGTGGTTACTGTGAGTTTAGTGCATGCCAGGTGAGAGAGAAGAAAATGAACTGATCATTTGAGTCTAACTGACCCCTTGAGTGTATGACCTCTGTATAACAGGATAAACAAGATGCACATTGGATTATTGTCATCTCCAGTCTCCAAACAGGCACGATGTGCAAGGTTAATGTTAAGGCCATGCCAGCAATAAAAGTTGAATATGGTCAATGTCACGATGTGGGATTTCATCCAGCTGCAGTCATGGTATGTAATGTTTTATCTTAATCTGGTCATGACCCTTATCTCTGGGCTTGTGGGATAGATAAGTAGAAAATCAAATTTAAGTAGGATGCAATGATGAATGTGTGTTTAGAAACAAGAACTGTTTGTCCTAATTGTCTGGACTACTGGACAGTTTATCTCATCCCTTTTAAGAAGGTATAAAGGGGAGCACAAGTTCTTTGTCTCGCAGTTGTCGTTGAAAATTCACTATTCACTTGGCGACATGCATCCATCTAGGGACTAGGTACGCTCTTTTTGTGTTATGTTGTTCATAGATTTGATATCAGATCAGCAAGTATCAAGGGCTTCCTCAGCTCAGCAGCTCTCTCATCAATGCCCTCTCATAGCAACTTTCCATGAAATGACAGAAAAATAATAGAACATTCATTCATTCATTTTCTTCCGCTTATCCGGGACCGGGTCGCGGGGGCAGCAGTCTAAGCAGAGATGCCCAGACCTCCCTCTCTCCAGACACTTCCTCCAGCTCCTCCGGGGGAATGCTGAGGCGTTCCCAGGCCAGCCGAGAGACATAGTCCCTCCAG